CCAAATACCAATAATAAGAGCGTACTCCTTCCTTAAAGGCCGGCATCGCATTTGTGATACTCCTAGTGTTGCAAGTGTCCATGGGCGACGGTGATCACTTACCATCAGGTGAACCGTCTGCTCGTATGCCATGCCATTTTAACATATAAAAAAAAATACACTCGCAGCGTTCCTACCCTGATCCAATCCTACCCCGTGGAGCCCTGGAATCTTACACACCGACAGAAACACAACACCACCGAAAGATAATGTTATTTTACTGCGGTCTCCTGTAATGTAACTCATTTCTTTGTCGCACTATCCAATCAATCAATCAAAATCATTTATTCAGTTTAGGCTGTTACAAGCACTCATGAATGTCTAGAAGCTACGCCATCGGTTCGTAAATCTACGGCGGGAGACCTTGTACTGAGAAGAACCGGCAAGAAACTCAGCAAGGGCTGTTTTTTCTCCCTGTTTTATTATTTACAAAGTCGTCAAATTGAAAAATGACTTCAGAGGTGATTCATGAAGTCACTTTTCATTCATCCGAAAATGGAAGTGTCTGCCTGCTCATGTGTTCCACCCTTCTTACAACCTGGGATCCTTTAAAAGAGGCGTGAAGAAGCAACATGCAGGTCGGCAAGGTAAGGATCGCTGGTGTGGCAGTTAGAACTGCTGTAGCAGCTATCTTCACGTCTTCACGTCACCGTCACTTAACATCGGTGCCCATAGTACGAGTGCGAGCTCACGAAAACTATCATAATTTTCATAATTGTAAATTATGTTTCTATGTCCATTTTGATGAAAAGTAACCAAATTTATTTATTTATTTATTAAAGGTCTGCCAACATTTTTACACCTTAACTTACATAATCACACTTATGTAACAATTTTCAGCATAGTGCAAAAACAATTACTGGCAAACTCAACATGAACAAAAAAAATTGAAATACATATATATAAAGTATTACACTGGCATTATAACTAAAGGATATTAAATATAATTCTTACATTCGTCTATTCGCCTGGAACAACCAGCTCACCACACCAATATCATAAATAACCATTGCATATTCTAGAAACTTAAACTATACTAAAAACTAAAACAAAAATGCATTAAAACACTAAGTTAAATGGAATATATATCAAATTAAATTTGAATTTGGCTTATAGTTGGGGTTCTTATCAGATACAGTAATTTTCGAAAACGTAACAAAGAAAGAGCATACAAGTCAATCGATCTACAAAACCTATTATGTTCGTCACACAGTCTATTGAGCACACTATGTGCGCCTAACTTAGTTCTAAAAAAATTCAATGAAAAGGGTGAATATACTTAAAATTTAAGAAGACGCTAATTATTCAATGATAGAATTTAAACACTCTTTATTTGTATTGAAACGAAAACAATGAAATCAGTGCCCTTAGTACGAGTGCGAGCTCACGAAAACTATCATAGTTTTCGTGATTGTAAAACTCGTACTAACGGTACAGGTGGAGTGGAGACATTTGTCGCACCTATTTATAAAAAAAATATGGAGGTTACTTCTCCAGACGGGCGCTACAATTCGAGCGGAAAATCAGCTACCTCTATTTCCCTCACTTGATAAACTCTCCATAAAGCTATTTCTATGGAATTTTCTTTCAAACAACTATGATTAATGGCCATGTGACGTGGTGACGACAATGTTCCCCGTAATTATTTAGTGCTCAAGGAACCGCTACGTGGTTACGTTATCGCGGTGTGATTTCGGTACCAAAGCGTAATTACGCGCTATAAAGAGCGAATTCGGTCACCATAATGTTCAAACAATCTAGTAAGTACGTTGTAACGGATGGCTATTTGCCATTCCGTTGTAGATTAAATAGTGCTTAAAGTTGGGATAACCACGGTTCCATTAGCACGTGTTCTCGCTAAAATTATTGAAAACTTTTTTAAGGTTTTAATGCTTAATAAATCAAAATTAAACTAGTTTTAATGGGTTAATGCACGTACTTTATTTATTTATTGACGTTTCGCAGCCTTTTCAGGTCTGCATCGTCAGAATAATGATTTTTTATTTACTTTGTCGAGCTACCTGCGAAAGGCTTTTATTGAGCGTTCGGATATTTCATTGAAAGATTTTTGAAACTTTATTGTCTATGTATGAATTTATTAGATAATTTAGTTAATAAAGTACTTTATATAAAATTCTTTTTTGTTATTTTGAGTTTATTTATTTGACCCTAACTACCGTAAACTACCACTGGTTTCAAAATTGGGTGACCTTTCTGAGAAGAACCTGCGAAACAAACTCAGAGAGGCTTTCTATCTCCTTCTTCTGTTAAATTATGCAAACAAAAAGAACTAATAGTATCTGTTGGTCTTGCAGTGAGTGCTCGGGGTTGGGAGTTTTTCAGTAATAAATCATTCTAATATGTATGATGACTAACTTTTCTTCTTAGAACAGGCCAGTAATTCTCAAAAAGTATTGGATACGTATTTTTTACTTTTTCGCATAATCAGAACATTACAGAGATCAATTGATTTAAAATGTCGCTAGATGTCACGCCTCGGTACAAATTTTACTTAAAAGTGACTTCACGAGCTCCCCCACCGCCAAAAGTTTTTTCTTTATAATTTTTATTATTTTAAAGCATGTAACTGCTTGATGTTTAAATCTTCGCAATCGCCCGGATTGCGAAGGGTGCGGGTTCGAGTCCCGTCTGCTGCCTGGTAGCAGCGCTCGCGAGACCCGCATTCAAAGCACTGCTTCTTAAAACATGAAACAATCATGCGGAACGGACGTCCGCTCTGTGCTTCCGCTTAAGGCAGCGCAGGCCCTAAGAATGCCCATTTTTCATGGTATACCTCGATGGTGCAGTAAATAGCGCATTTGGTCTACGATCTCGGGAGTTAATCAACTTGCGCAACAGCTTGTCATACAACAGTCGACCATAAATTAACTATCTGGATCGCTTCTGTGCTTATTATATCCCAATATTTTTTCAAGTAACGGGTGTGAAACGGAGAAGCCGTTATGCATTCCGCGTGGCTTACGAGCGCTTACGGCACACTATCCGCTGAAAAACCCTGCGAATACCCTCTACGCTGTTACAGGTCGCGGCACGTGCCTCTAGCGCTGAACAAAACGCGGAGGGGATCGCTGCGCATGGGGACGACTGGAGAGCCAATCGGCGCAACGCACGCCCACCCGCGCACCTCGTTTCCCCCCAAGACATCTTAATTTTTACTTCTGCTCAATAACGGTCAGCGCTAGAGTTTCGTACCGCGACGAACCGCGAGATCCTCGTTGGGGGACTTCACCGCGTCTGTACTTATTATATCCCTAGCATTGCAAGCATCTATTGACTATGGTACAGTCTTACGTGCTCTTACTATCCGGAGGGCTTATATATTTACATTAACTCTTAAGTTACCCGTCTGATTGCTAGCCGAAAACGAAAATATTTAAATAGTCATCAAAAAATAATAATTGATCACCTAAAAATTCAAGTGGCAAACTGATGGCTAGGTTTGGTTTCCAATGGTAGTTTTTGATGACCAATGACTATTTTTTGTTGATCATTTAAATATGTGGATATTTGAAAGTAGCTAGAAAACGACTCCAAAAGTATTTGGTATGGCAAATAGAACGCGTTAAGCGAAAGTCACTTAACTTCCGAATCACCGAATTTCGTAAATGTTACAACTGTCTTTTATTAAGAAAAAGTCATTAAGCGGTATCTACTGAAAAATATACCGTTATCCTTATCTTTTCGTAGCGATCGTAATCTGAATTTCTAAGTAAACGTTCTGCAGGTAAAGTGGAATCCTGTTACATTCATAAAGTTAGACAGTTTTTTATAATCAGTAATGCTGATAAGACTGACTTTTTGAAAGTGTAAAGAAATGAAATTTTGTTAATTTATAAGCTCGAGCTCTGCGTAATTGGAAGATATTTCTTTGCTGGTATTCGTCCGAATTGGTTCTCTTCATTTATTATGGAAAGCTGTTTTGATATCAAATATTCAATATAAATAGGAGTGCTACCACCGCATTTCAAGGTTCAAGAAGTAATGAAAAAAATAACGTAAAAGTCTAGGCCGTCTACAATTAAGGGAAAAACGGGAGACTTGCCCAGGTGGGAGAGCCGAACCATCTTTCAAAATTGTATTTAAATTTAGCGCAAACGAAATATCAATTCGTTCATTGGTCACATGCGGTACGCCAATCACAACAAACCAGTCTCGCGTGTGACCAATGAACGAATTGACGTTTTATTTGCGATGAATTTATCATTAACTAAGAATTTATAAACCATTTGAAAGATGGTTCAATTCTCCCACCTGGGCAAGTCTCCTGGTTTTCTTCTACTATATTTTAACTGCCCTATAAAAGAATTATTATATACAAAACAAAACACATTTTCTGAATGAATCAGTAAAGCGCGATTCAAACTTATCGCTCGAAGTCTCGCTCCTCGTAAGGCCGGCTTCATTTCTTTCCCTTAGGCATCACTTTACAGCGCAACCAAGATAGAAGTAGCCGAAATCGGAGAGTTTTCTACGCTATATCGAATGCCATTTGATCAGTGAAAATTCACCGAAAACCCTTTTTTTAGCGTGTAAAGCTGGTGGTCGCAGATGATCTTTACAGCGTCACCGTTTAGGGACGGCGAGATCCTAGGAGACCTCTAGCCGAGAATTGACGAGTACCTCTAGAGGTATTCCAGGCGGATGGCCTCTCCCATGGGCTCCCCCCATGGGAGATTGATGGTTGGGAGATGGGAGATCTTCTTTCCGTCCGGAGCCTCTAGACCACTCTAACCTGAGAGGGTCGGCTCAACTAGAGGGCATCTCTCTCGAGACTCGGATCTTGGAAGTGAGACGTGTTGGAGCCAACCCCGCTACTTCCCCAAACCCGGTGACGCTGTAAAGGTCATCTGCGACCAACAATATACACAAAAAAAAGTCTCACTTGGACATCACACATTGAACTCAACACCTGCTTGGACAAATTAAGCAAATCAACTCACCGTTCTTGTGTCCGTAGTAGCCGGTGCCTGACGATGAGCCGCTGCCAGTGGAGGAGCCCTGCGCGGGCCGGCCCTCCTCGTCCTCCAGGGGTAGCGGGGTCGGCTCCATCGCGTCTCACTTGGTCATCACTCACTAACACTCACTTCACTTTGTACCTGAAAAGGGAAGAGTGACGATAAGTTATGGGTACGAACAGCCAATTTGATTCCTGACCCACCATAAGCTTATTTTGTTACAACCATTTCAAAATAAGGAGGTAGATATTTGCTTAAATGCTTGTTTTTTTTCTGAAAAATCTTATTTTGACCACTGATTTTGACGTGACAGATTTTGCCGCCTTCCTGTGACATAATTTTGACATGAAATTATTTGGACTGTTGTTTATGGACTAAGGATCAGTTTTACCAATGTTTTTATTATGTCAAGAATGCGAAAGAGTTTCTGTGACATTATTTTAAAATTTATTTGGAAATTCAAATCACTATTCCATTTTTATCTACATATAATCTATTGCATTGAAAATAAAGGCCAAATTTCAAATACGTTTGTTCCATAATAACACAGTTTTGTAATTATTAGAAGGCCCTAAGTGCAATTAGGCATTCTTTTCAAAGGAAAATTTGTCTGTTTTGACATATTTAAGCGAATTATCGGGCAAGCAGGTCAGCCCCTCAAGCATGACCACCGAAACGGGATATGATAATGCGATATATCGGCATTAACTGTCAGACTACAGTGGAGTATGACAGTACGACAGAGTTGACCGTCCGTTACCCTAGTATCCCATAACACAAGCCTTATAGTGCTTTCTTTGGGTCTAGGCTAATTGGTGTGTGTTGGAAATACTTATTATTATTATTTATTAAGTATATATCGCTTTATCATATCCCGTTTCGGTGGTCATGCAAGAGGGGCAGGAATCAGTTGGTTCGAACTTACATGACGTTCTTTAGTATGGGATCCACCTAAGGTTGAATATCGGACATAATAGGAGCATTTTTTTGAATACGTTGCTATTACAACTTTATAACCTATCTAAAGAAAGTTTTACTAGAAATAGTTCCACGCGTACCAGGCAGCAGATGAAACTCGAACCCGCACCCTTCGCTATGCCTTTCAGCCTAAGGCTAGAGAAAAATTCGACACGGCCATCAAGGCTACGGTAGCATAATGGTCAGTACATCCGCCCGGATAGCGAAGGGTGCGGGTCGAGTTATCTGCTGCCTGGTCCGCGTGGAATTTTTTCTAGTAAAATTTTTTTTACATTTAAACATCTAGCAGTGAAATGCTTAAAAAATATAACTATAGTTATATATTATGTCAGTACAGGCAACTGCACAGTTTACGCGCCAACTCTACGCATGCAATAAACGCACGGAAATTCCCATTCAATCAAGTTACTGTTTAACTTGCCTACTGTTATTTCTGATAATGTTAATTGGTATTATTTATAAATATATATATATATATACTAGCTGTCCCAGCGAACATCGTACCGCCATAAAAAAATAGGGGTTCGTGGTAGAAGGGTGAAAATTTAGGGTTGTATGTATTTGTGTATGATGTATCATAACAAAATAAATAAAATATATCTAAAATTGAAAAAAAAATAAAGGGTGGATTACCCTTAACATTTAGGGGGATGAAAAATAGATGTTATCTACCCAATATGCACACAAAATTTCATGAGAATCGGGAAAGCCGTTTCGGAGAAGTTTAACCACAAACACCGCGACACGAGAATTTTATAAGATATAATAAAAAAATTAAGTTAAAATTGATTTGTGACAATTTTGATAAGGATGTCATAAAAGATGTTGAATTTGATTTCTTACATTTCTGACGACCTCCGTGGCCGAGTTTGTACGCCAGGTTTGAATGTGTCGCCTATTCGAGAGGTCCCGGGTTCGAATCCCGGTGGGGGCAAATGTTTGTTTGATGAAAACGAGTATTTGTACTCCAGTCATGGATGATAAATATGTATTTCTATATAAATATACTTATATATGTACTGTATATGTTTTCTACCCGTTACCCTAGTATCCCAAAACACAAACCTTACAGTGCTTACTTTGGCGCTAGGCTAATTGGTGAGTGTTGGAAATACTTATTTATTAATTTTCTTAGATTGTCAATATAATTTCCTTGTATGACACTGACATAACGATCGCAATGAAAAAAATAAAAACTCAATGATACGCTTAAAAAGAAGGTTAAAATAAAGAAAAGTCAATATACACGAAAAGATTTTAACCTAACATTTCCACGCCATATTCGCCTGGATATGAAGAACTTATTGCAATACGAATATTCAAACCATTTTTCAATGAAATGGCCAATCCCAAATTAACCTTTTGTCTGCTTAAGTGGAAGATTTCTGCCACGAGTTGAGAAAATTATTTTCGTATTTTGATTTTTTCATATTTTGCGTTTTATCCTATTTAGTAATGGTTTTAGTTTACACAATACATCTAATATATAGATAAATTTGTAGATAAACTATTCAGGATTGATTTAAGACATAAATGAAGCCTGAATGTACAGTAGAACTCGAATAATAAGAGAGAAAAAAAAATTTCGCGGTCGTGTAAATCTAAGTGCATGGTTACACAGACCAGGGGTTAAGCATCTGACTGTACATAGAAGTAATGAGGAATGGGAATAAATCATTTCCTTTTCATGACAACTATTTGACAGTTACTGTGATAATTCACACCATCAATCAAAGTTGTTACTAATTACTGTTCCAATATTTTCATAAATATAATATTATACAAGCTGTGCCCCGCGGTTTATTAGGGATATTTTCACGCAGTAAAATGTAGCCTATGTGTTTAGCCAGGGTGTCAGCTTACTCCATACCAAATTTTATTAAAATCTCTCTCTCTAAGGCCCGTATTACAAAATGGCAACAAAGTGTTGATCTTTACTTGAGTACAGTAAGAAAGGGATGTCGCTATGTGCTCTATATAGCGACATCCCTTTCTAACTATGCTCAAGACTAGATCAATCACTGAGAATCTTTCTATAATACGGGCCTAAGTGTCGCCGCACACTGGCCACACGCCACAGCCACAAACGCCGCCACGAGAAGCTAGAAGCGGCTACTAAAGTGGCTAAAGCGTGCGACAGCGCCCGACTAAGGCAAGTGAGAGAAGGGTGGGGAATCGCACAAGAACCGTGTGGCGGAGTTTTGTATCGGCGCATAAGTGTCCGATGCGGGCCACAATGTGGTGGCTACCGGCGTACCGTGTGAGGCGAATCCATATAAAATGTATGAAAATTACAAGAAATATGCCGGTGGCGGCGTTTTGTGGTTGTGGTCGGTGGCCCGTGTGCGGCGACACTAAAGCTCCAGCCGTTTAGACGTGAAGAAGTAACAAACATACACACTCACAAGCTATCACCTTTATACTATTAGTATGATTATACTAATTTAGCTGTAAATGGTAACCTGTGTATAGGTAGTAACAAAGCTTTGGCATTTTCTCCATAGAAAATTAAACATTTCCTCGGCCATTCTCTCTCGTTTCCATTACGTTTCATTTTTATCATGGACGCTGATTACAATATTTTAATGAACATAAAACGTGGACGCGAAAGAATAATCCTGACACCGCGAAAGTTAGTTCGAGGTTGTTTTGATGGCGGCATTACTTTTACCTATTTCTTCTGATTAATTTCACCACACAATATTAACTCTGTACATTTTATGCTGGTTCATTACTCGTGAAACGGTATGTACGCTTAATATTAAATGAAGCCAGTGGATTTCAGGATTGCGGCTTAGACGTCACTCGACCGACCCATCGCTTCTATAGGCCAAACCGCATTGCTAATTGGTCAGCCTTGGTCGGCCATTGCTTTGCCTAATCTAACTAGTCTATCTAAGTATACCCTCTAAGCTATAAAGGTTAATGCACATATCGCGCGTTAGAACAGTACCAACTCAAAATGTTTAGTGATTTCAGTTTTTTTTAAACTGAAAAGAGTAAAAAAGAATGAGTGTGCTTATGACTACACGACTGAAGTGAAACTTCTATAGCTCCATCTGTGTATGTGTGTACAATATATATATATAGGAGCTCGATGGCGCAGGTGGCTAGCGCGTTCGGCTGCGATCGTTGAAGTTAAGCAACTTTCGCAGTGGTCGGTCATTGGATGGGTGACCAAAAATTTACTATCTCGAGCTCCTCCGTGCTTCGGAAGGCACGTTAAGCCGTTGGTCCCGGCTGCATTTGCAGTCGTTAGCACCCACCAATCCGCACTGGGCCCGCGTGGTGGGTCATGGCCCAATCTCCCTATTCCATCCATAGGGAAGGCCTGTGCCCCAGCAGTGGGGACATTAATAGGCTGATGATGATGATGATATATACATGTATGTACATATACATTGAGGAGCTCGATGGCGCAAGTGGTTAGCGCTTTCGGCTGTGATCGTTGAAGTTAAGCAATTTTCGCAGTGGTCGGTCATTGGATGGGTGACCAAAAATTTACTATCTCGAGCTCCTCCGTGCTTCAGAAGACACGTTAAGCCTTTGGTCCCGGCTGCATCTGCAGTCGTTAGCACCCACCAATCCGCACTGGGCCCGCGTGGTGGGTTATGGCCCAATCTCCTTATTCCATCCATAGGGAAGGCCTGTGCCCCAGCAGTGGGGACAATAATAGGCTGATGATGATGATGATGTACATATACATATTTCATTTACTAGCTATATGAGAAAGAGAGAAAGAAAATGTGCGCGCGCACTGCTTTCTCTTGCTTATGTACTCCACTGAACTCCCATTCGCCTCGCCCGAACATACTTTTCGTAACGCGTAACGCATTCGCCAGCTTACCCCCCAAGTCATGCGTGCGTAAAGAAGTTTTACTTCAAAAACTTTTTTATTGTTCTTAGAAAGCTTATAGGGATGATGACGGGGTATAGTAAATGAAATTTTATTTAGTCCGTCAGTTAGATTAGAAAAAAAATATGGATACTTTTTTATGATAATGATAAAGCCCGCACTTCTAAATAAAAAATTGTACCTACATGTGACATCATGCTTTCAAATAAATATATCTCTGTAATGTTTTGATAATGTGTTTTTTTTTATAGATAGGTCTGACAAATGACTCCACCCCAGCTGATGTTAAGTGACGGTGAAGTCCAGACGTGAAGATAGCTGCTACAGCAGTTCTACCTGCCACACCAGCTAACCGCACCTTACCGACCTGCATGTTGCTTCTTCACGCCTCTTTTAAATAAATAAAGAAAAAATACACATAGTTATACTTTTTCACGACGAAGGAACAAAAGTTACCCATCATCCTTATTCTACAACACTGTTGAAAAAATAAGAAAAATAAAGAACCAATTTTTTAGTTATAATTTTTATTTTTTAAAGCATGTAACTGCTTGATGTTTAAATTTAAAGAAAATATAAAAAGCAGACGGCACTCGAACCCGCACCCTTCGCAATCCGGGCGAATGCACCGACCAATTATGCTACCGCGGCCCTCACGGACCGTGTCGAAATTTCTCCAGCCATTCTTAAGCTGCAAGGCAGCGCCATCTCTCCGCATTATAGGCAACCCACAATGTCAAATGAATACTTTTACAAGTATTAAACATTTGAAAGAAGAAAAAGCAATTATAGTTATAATTTTTATTTTTTACAGCATATAACTGCTTGATGTTTAAATCTAAAGAAAATATAACTAGAAAAAAATTACCAAAAATAAAAACCAATTTTTTGTCATAGGCCATTTTCATTCTGAGGGTGCGTTATAGGTAAGTATTATAAACGCGTCTGCCGGCAAAATTTGATAAAAAAAGATTATTCAAATTGACTTATTAAATGCTCTTTTGAATGGCCCGTTTTTATTTTCGAGCACGCATTAAGAGGGGAGACGCGCAATGTTTTTTCCATACAAACGTTCTCGACTGATTGCTTCTTGATTTTTATCACTAAAGAATAGATTTTCATAAATATAATATAATTTTACTTATTTTATTTAAATTTATTTATTTAATTAATTAATTGCACATGTACAGTATAGGATCTTAAAATTATTTTAGCATGGTACATGACCCTGTCACAGTGTTGCAAGTACAATATCTATATCTAGACAACTACTAAACAGTTTCAGTTTCAAACAAGTTAGTGAGCTTTCCGTGACGGTTTCACTTATCATTCATAAATTCATTTACCGAATAGTATGCTTTCCTTATAAGATATTGTTTGAGTTTCATTTTAATGTATTTATGATGCTTTCTCTTTTAATTTCTATCGGAATTTTATTATATATTAGAATTGAACGGTATAGAGAACACTTATTTTTGAACATTTCTAGTTTTGGCATTGGTAATTTTATGTTAAATTTTATATTAAACTAAAACTAGGGTTAATGCACAAACTTTATTTATTTATTGACGTTTCGCAGCCTTTTCAGGTCTGCATCGTTAGAATAATGATTTTTTATTTACTTTGTCGAGCTACCTTCGAAAGACGAGCGATACGATACGATTGAGCGTTCGGATATTTCATTGGAAGATTTTTAAAACTTTATTGTCTATGTATGAATTTATTTGTTAATTTAGTTAATAAAGTACTTTATTTAAAATTCTTTTTTGTAATTTTGAGTTTATTTATAGGCTAGTTGACTCATGTCAAATTGCACTATATTAATGTTTATTTCTTATAATTTTTGGTACGTGGAACCTAAATACATCGATTTCACTTCATAAAATTAGAAGATGACTGAAGTAATTCAATTTAAAAAATAGTTTTTTAGTCTATGCTTTTTAAACACTGAAAACGCTGTCCACCATGATTGTGACGTCAACATAATAGCAAACAACTAAACGTCATTGTCGTGTTACTGTGGTTTCTTTCGTTCTACTAAAATTTATCTAAAAACTCTTAAATCTTGAAGAAAATTTCCGTTTATTGGTTTTCTTGACTAAATTAATGCTGGACGCCGGATTTGTGAAAGCAGAAACGACAAAACTCTTTGACTTAGCAGGTACATTCATGACCTTAAAAATTGAAACCACAACATTTCTGGAGTCTTTAACGATGTATTTGTTAGTCTCGTATAATACAATCATGATAATTACCATATTTATCATGAAATCTATTAGAAATCATGGTTTTGTAATGTATATTCAGATAGGTTATATCCTACGTGCTTGCGAGTGTTTGTTTACTATTTTGTTCCCGTCATACCATAGATAATCTATAGACTAAAATGGCCGACGGCGTTTTTGTATGTCCATGAAAAATCTATTTTAAAATTAAAGTTTTGTAGCTTTCTAGGTAAAATAAAAAACACATTTTTCGGTCTAATTGAACAATTATTATCCATTTAAAACATATTTCCAAAAAGTGTCAAATAGCCTATTTGACCCTAACTACCGTAAACTACCACCGGTTCCAAAATTGGGAGACCTTTCTGAGAAGAACCGGCGAAACAAACTCAGATAGACTTTCTATCTCCTTCTTATGTTAAATTATGCAAACAAAAAGAACTAATAGTATCTGTTGGTCTTGCAGTGTGTGCTCGGGATTGGAATTTTATCTCTTGTATAACGGGTTCCTAAACCGGTGGTACAATTATTTTATGTTACTCTGTTTTCCTTTTTTCGATAACTTATGTTTCAAAGAAACTAGAAGCCCTCGAAAAAGGTAAAAAGTAAACAAATTTTTTTCACCACTAAAGACGTGTAGTGTGGAGATTGCAGAGAATACTGCGTTTGTAGTTAGCAATCATTTAGTTAGTTTCGCTTCACGCAAATGCAGTAATGGTGAATACTGTGTTTGAATTTAGTTAGTGTTCGTTGCAAAAAAGTTATACGCTAAATGAATATACAGTAAATGTAGCAAGGACTGCACAATCTTCTAGCACATGCTTAATTCTGCAGTTCTTTTTAGCACAAGTAACATTTAGGTGCAAGTACTGCGTTTTATATTAAATAAAAAACATGTTTTTGGTAAGAAAAAACTTGTAAATATATTTTTTACGTATAGATCACGTCTTTGGCATATCTGCGATTGCCTTTAGCTGATGAAATTCGAAGTGTACTATATTAATCAACTGAGGTCGATTGCAAAATGCAAGAACTCAGTTTTTGAGACGATTTTCAGCTCTAGGTACTAATTTTCATTATCAGCTTGGTAGTCGAGTGTTTTTAGGGTTCCGTAAATTAAAACAAAATTATGAAACCCTTATAAGATCTGTTTTTCTCAGCACTGGCCCATTTATGACGACCTCCGTGGCCGAGTGGTTTGTACGCTGGGTTTCATGGTGTCATCGACTCGAGAGGTCTCGGGTTCGAATCCCGGTGGGGGCAGATGTTTGTGTGATCAATACGAGCATTTGTACTCCATTCATGGATGTTTAAATATGTATTTTTTATATAAATATACTTATTTATGTATAGTATATGTATTCTATCCGGTACCCTAGTATCCCATAACACAAGCCTTACAGTGCTTATTTTGGGGCTAGGCTAATTGGTATGAGTGTTCTAAATATTTATTTATTGACCCAAAGCAGTGGTAGGGATAAAGTAATACTGAAATGTGTAAAAGCTCTTGAAAATTTTGAAAAAAAAATGTCTCTTATTACTTTTATCACTTTATTGCTTGTCTGTCAGTCTGTCCATCTGTCTGTCTGTCAAGACCCTTTGTCTCGGAAACGCTTGTAGGTGTCGAGTTAAAATTTAAATCATATACTCAGATTTACCGTCCCTGGAAGCTGTAAAAAAAAATCAAACTTCTAAGTTAACATGAAAAAAAGATACAGCACTTTATCTGTCTATCTGTCAAGACTCGAGAACGCGCACAGGTATCGAGTCCAAATTTAAAACATAATATACTCAATATTTTTATCGTTTATGCATTTAACTGCTAGATGTTTATATCTAAAGAAATTCTTTACTAAAAAAACAACTCCACTCTTCATTCCACGGGGATCAGGCCAATATACATAACTGGTCCACGTGGACTTTTTGTATTAAAAAAATCTTTAAATTTAAACATATACTCAAGTCTACAATGCCTTGAAATTGTGAAAATCACACTTCCAAGTTACCGTGAAAAAGAGACTGCCATTTGTGTTGCGTACCAATAAAATTGTACGAAACCCTCATTCATAAACACAGTAATATAAAATCATAAAGGAAACAAAGACGTTGGTGTTTTGATTAAATAAATTTTTAATCTATTAAACCGTCACATATTAAAAAAAAACTATTTAATTTAATTGTTTGCAAAATAAGAACTTAAGTAAAATGGTTAAAAAAAATTTTAATTACCTACCTGTTTAATTTTATTATTTCATCAAAACCTTACACAGAAAAAAACACAAATATCGATATAAAACACTAGCCACTCAACACTCCATTATGTATTTTTAAAACCGCTGTCAACACGCTTGCACTATTCCCAGAATTCGAAAACGTTCAAAAGCTGGCGGGTAATTTGTTGAAACGCGTTCTATAATCAAATTGGAAATGGAACCGCGGCGAAAACGGTTGTTTCCGATGCGCGACCTGCAATATACTGGCCGCGTGCGTTTAGTTACTTCGCCTATTTTTACAGATGTCCGAACCGTATAGAACGGGAACAGAGATAATAAATTAAAAAAGAAAAGAAACATGGCGGTCCCGCGGGAAAATAAACAAGAGCGAAACTGCTTTTCACATCCTGAACGAATAAAATTGCATTATCGTCGATATAATGTTGTCGTAAACTTAGGTCTAACGAGATTATGATTTAAGCAGAACTCTTCATTCGTGAGAGTTGAGACCATATTTTATGATTTGATTTGTTACAAAATTTAGCGTGGGTACTCTGCGAGTCTACGCACTGTAAACAATATAATTCATTTCTTAGGAAAGCATTATTTGGCATTATTTCCACTAAAGAGATCTCATATCATAAATATTACTCGGAAAACATAGAAACATATCATAGTAGGAAAAGAGGAAAGCGGAGCTTTCGAGAAGTAGCTACCTATATCAAAATCTCATAAAGATTACTTTATCTTGTGCTGTATTTTTTTTGCGTAAACGTCTTAATAAAATCTGTTTTCCCGAAATACATTTTATTTGAATATAAGATATGAAATTACATTTTTATGTTTGTTCTCACTCTATTTATATGTCTATGACAGCTACAATTCGCATTCTCTTTTTAGAAGTATGAGCCTATTTGTTATATAGAAAACTTTCTGGCTGTTTGTCAATCGAAAATAAATCGATAGTTGTAATTAAAAAAAACCTTATGAATGTCATAGGTTATTTTTTTAGAAAATAATAAAAGAAAATGGACTTTTTGGCGGGATCGGAAAGCGTCACTTTAGCAGTTTTTCTTGTTAAAAATTGTGTTGTGGCGGATGTTAGTGTCTAATAATGGTGGATTATTAACCACTAAGTGTTCGGGAACATGCACAAGTGTTGGCAAGTGAAACAAAATAGCGGAAAGTGTCTTTCGAAGTTCCCTCAAGAAGTCCACGGGGAGGTTCCAGTAAATGTCCCACACATTTACTGAAACACAGGGAAAGGGGGATTGACTTGACTGCCACTTACTTTGTCTTGATATAATACTTTGACCACGAGTGCTATAGAATTTGTAAGCATTTTTAACACTTGACATTGGCTAAATGCACAAGCCGTGCGAAGCCATTGAGGAAAAAAAATAAAAGAATCGTAAATATATGGAGAAATTAATAAAATTAAAAAAACAATTTGTGTAAACGGATATTAATAAAAATTTTTTTTTTCTTTACTGAATAGGGATTTAATAATCAGATTCAGTTCATTTTGATGGTACTTAACACCAGGAGGAAATAACTTGCAGGACCTCGTACAGTAAACATTTGAGTTCATCTCACGGTCTACAATGTTGGCAATATTCCGACATGCAGACGAGAAAAAAACAGAAAGCAATTCTTTACAATATTTTATTTTATAAACGGACGCGTATCATCGTCACTTCAAGAAAACATCTCTGTCACCATTTTAAATGGCGGATGTTTTTTTTTAAAGAACACGTTTTAACACTTTGCCCGTTCAGTGTGGACAGATCATTGGTAATTGGCGAGTTCGTGACAAAATACCAAGAAAAATGACACAAGGTCCGTGTACCGCATAGGGGACACAAAGTTACTGAATCACTCAATGTGAACTTTAAAAGGGTAAACTTACATCGCGAAACCGCATTGAGTGTACCGTATGTATGGGATCTTTATCCCAATATAATATTTTTGTAGTTGTTTTCTTATTCACAATTAATTTATTCAGTTTAATGTTTGAAAAGAAAAACGAGAAAGTCATCAAGGGTTGCTTTTTTTCTCACTGTTTTATTTCATACTGTATATTTTAAGGCATGAAATTAACTGACAAACACTGTTTTGAGGTCAAGTTAAAATACAGTTACAATATATGAGGAGCTCGATGGCGCCAGTGGTTAGCGCGTTCGGCTGCAATCGTTGAAGTTAAGCAACTTTCGCAGAGGTCGGTCATTGGATGGGTGACCAAAAATTTACTATCTCAAGCTCCTCCGTGCTTCGGAAGGTACGTTGAGCCGTTGGTCCCGGCTGCATCTGCAGTCGTTAACACCCACCAATCCGCACTGGGCTCGCGTGGTGGGTCATGGCCCAATCTCCCTATTCCATCCATAGGGAAGGCCTGCGCCCCAGCAGAGGGGACATTAATAGGTTGATAATGATGATGATAAATATACAAAAACCCCGAAATATACAGTAAACAATTTTCATAATAAATGAGCAAATATTAATGTAAGAGACGGCTCTCTTCAATACTCATCTTGAAGAGACAACTTTAATACTTTTCACTTTGGAAATTAGGTATCAGAAAGGTAAAAATTATGACCAGGTCGTGTAATCATTCAAATATTATTTGACAATCTAATATCCTTTCTTAAGAAAGCAATTTTAAATGTGCGTTTTAAATTCATTAAGAAGCAATTTGATAGACAGAAAAGACCTGCAGTTCTTCTAGTGAATGAGTGGTACAGAGCTCTACTTGATATGTCTTTATCACATGTACCGAATAAACGGGCGAGACAGTAAAATATTTCTCGGCCGAGACAGTGATGGAAGTTAAAAACTCATGTAAGAGCGCTCGGCCGAGCGCTCGGCGCTATGTTAAACATACAGAGGACTCGGCCGAGAGCATTGTCTCGCTCGTTTGCTTGGTACGTGTGATCAAGGCAATTGGGTTTGCAACCGTAACACGCGGCGACTCATAACTGGACCCCGCAGTTACGCCTGAAGGGTCAGGGGTAAATCGGGGAGTTGGTTTACCTGGTAGGTACGGGAGTTGGTCGGCTTAAATTTCAACTTGATACCTCTACGCGTTCCTGAGATAAAGGGTCTTGGCAGACAGACAGATAAACGGCCGTATCTTTTTTACTTTTTAACTTAAAAGATTAATTTGTACACAGCTTCAAGCGGCCACAGACTTGAGTATACAGTTTAAATTTCAACTTGATACCTCTACGCATTTCCGAGATAAAGAGTCTTGACAGACAGATGGACAGACAGACAACAAAATGAATTTCGTAAAAATTTTGAGTTTGATTTGGTAAGGAGCCCTAAAAACAATGTTATAATGTCGAGCAAGCAACTTTAGAAGGGAGAAACATATTAAATTGAATGTTCATGTTATTTTCGTATTTCATATTAATATTTTACATACTTACAAATTAATACTCCGCATGTTAGTAGGTATATTAAATATGAAATGAAATTTGTTTTTGTGTCACATCATATGACATACAGTTCTAACCTTTAATAAAATTTCATTAAAATGTATTTTCAAGCCTTAGATAAATGATTGATCTTTCCGAAAGGACCAATCATTTATCTAATATTTAAGCCTTATGTATCTGAAATACTGTCTAGAAATTACCTCAGTGTCAAATATTTGAAATACCAAATACAAATAATATTTTTGGAAGTACCTAGGTAATTGAAATACAAAAAGCAAATACACTTAAAGGTGAGTTTGTATTTTAAAATACTAACCTTCTTATTATAGCTACAAGTAATTTAGACTCTGCCCAAATCCTGGAGGCCTACTCTATTTCAACGAAAAACGAAATTTCGATCGAAATTTCGCACGTACCTTACTCTGTTTCTATTTCATTTCGAAAATTCGTTCGTCCGAAAATAGTTTGACATTTACTGAGCCTACTCTAATTCACAAAACTTTTGAACTAAAAGTTGAATTTGACAGATAATTGTTCGAAATTTTAACCTCAAGTTGACAAAATGAAAAGTGTTACCTTTTCATTTTCGTTTTGGGATTTTTGTTTAAATAAAACTTAAAATTACTACTAGAGTATTTTTAATTAAGGCTGCTTAGCATGAGGAACTTTTTTTAGTATGATAAATTTACAAATTAATCAAATTTTTGTTTATTATTCTATTGCCAATACTTCAAAGTATTACACGACAAATTTAGGTTGACATACACTGTCAAAAGAGGTTGTTTTAATATAATTAAAAATGTTGTCATAAAGTAATATTGTTTTGAAGTAAAAAACCATATCTAAAAAGTGTAGACAAAAAGAACTCACAAACATAACTCATTCCATTCGTTCACGATAATTGTCTGTGATTCCGAACTTTATGTGCGTGTTCGAAGATGAAATAGAGTATTGTCACTGGCGAAATTTCATTTAAAATTCGTTCGTTGCCGAAATTTCGTTTCGGAGAAAGAGAGTAGAGCACCTGTTTGTTTTCCAATCTTTTAGGGTAAAACCAAAATTAATATTTAATTCGTCTGCACAAACGCAATTTAAGTTATATTGCTCGTATATTTCATCGCAGTAATACCACCGAAGCTTTAGCAATCTAGCTAGTGGTGTATTTGCCGCTATAAATAAAGACGCAGACTTTTATAACAACTTAGGTACTATTAGGTTCGCGCATACTATAGCTGCAACGGGCCGCACAACACTTTATCGCAAAATTGCGCAATAGCACATAGATTTCGTAACGGGGCACACCGCAACGCAATAATTGAATCTGTCAGCCGTTGTCAGGCCATAGCAACGGATAGTTCAGAAGAATTGTGTACTGTACCCCTAGTACGAACCATCGAATTCGAATAGTTTGCAAACCGAAACGTCAATGTCAAATTTTGTATGGAAACTTGAACAGCAGCGGCACAAAGTACGTAACGAGAACTAAATATCAATACACATTTGACAATGACATTTCGGACTCGCAAACGATACGAATTCGATTTTGGTTCGTGCTAGGGGTACTGTACCCCGAGCAGGAACCTATATCGAATTCGAATAGTTTGCGAGTCCGAAATGTCATTGTCATTTTTTTTTCTTTCTGAGGCGTTCTCCGTTTTACACAGAAATTTCGTAGTATGTCTAGCAGTGAGAGAGACACGAGAAAGACTGCTCGGTAGAAACAGATTAAGGTGATATAAATAACCGATTATACGTTCTTCCTTGAGTATTTCACTTTTCTGAAAGCACAACAAACATACAATTGTCAAATTTTATATGGAAACTAGAACAGCAGCAACAGTACATATTTGACAA